AATTTTCATCTTTAAATTATTTTCCTTTTCTATCAAAAATATGATTAAGAATATTTTGATAAGACCTCAATTTATTTAGAAAAACTCTTAAGACCAATCATATTAATACAAACAATATATTTTTAAAAATAAAAATAAATAATGTATTTATATTTGTCTATAATAAATTATTTAGATACTAAATATCGTTATAAACGCATAATAATCGATCCTTAGGACCAGGGGTTGACCCACGTTGGATTTAGGGTGTTCATCCAAACACCCTCGGGCACAAAAATACGCAATATATAAAAGGTAAATTTTCTGTATTCTGTAGATCATATATTTTGAACCCCTCAATAACAAATAAAAATAGATAGATCAATGGTAAGACCCTTGAATATTAAGTTGCACGCCTCAGGTTCGAACATGCCAAAAGTGTAATTTTAAACCCAAAAAATTTCAAAGGGCCTATTTCGAAAGACTTATTTACACATTTATATTTTTATTTTTCGAACCTCCTGACGAAAATCCTGAGACCTCCACTGACTAAGACAATAAAATAAAAAGAAAAAATTACATAAATTAATATATTTTAAGAAATAATTACTGATTTTAGCGATACTTTTTGTTTATTATCATTTATAGCAGTGCTTTGTTAAATCTGTAATATGTATTAAAAGTAAATTATGTATGCAATATATGTAAATTATAATTGTTTTTTGAAATATCATGTATGTTTGGTAAAAAATTGTCAAATTGTATTAAAATGTGTGATAAATGTATTATTTATCATTAAAATTTGTATTATATATGAACAATAAATTGTTCTTTGTAATATGTATTAAACTTGTATTATAAATAAATTAAAAGTGATCAAGTGAGATAAAAATATCATCGCTATAAATGATAAACATTTTTTTTATCATAATATATTTACGTAAATTTTTCATAAAAAAATCTCAAACTAACTGTATTATATTATAAAGAAATTCAAATCACTCGTCATTTATCGCTCTTCTCTATAATAAACAATCAAAAATCTCAAAATCAATAATATTTATCATATCCGAAATTATACTATCTTTCGCAAGTCAACTTTATCGCGATTCTAAAAACTACTTATTAAATTAAAATAAATAAAATATATATATACATAGAGGAGAGAGTACTAACATTTTTTTCACCAAGTGGGACCCTGAAAAACGCATTTATATAGCGAACAACGCCAGTCTCGCTGTATTTTTTTTTTTTGGATCTGAAGAAAAAAAACCAATTCCCAAATCTAAACGCCATTTTTTCACCATGGGAGGAGATTGGCGATCTCTGCGAATTCCTTCATTGATCTGCGCTATTTATCTTCTTCTTACATTCAACAATGTCTACTGTTTCTACCTACCCGGTGTTGCGCCTGAAGATTTCCAAAAGGTTAGTAAAAATTTCATCATGTTTATCAGTTTATGTATAATTGTTAAATTTTTGGATAAATTTTGAAGTTAGATCGGATAGATGAATCGTTTGTTTTGAAAAATGAAAATGTAGATATTTTGAAGTCTGTGTATAAAATTACTAGTACAGTGATGCAATTCTTCTCGTATCGGAATGTGTGTGCATAAAATGGAGGTGCATTGCATTGTTGTTTCGGGATTTCATGAAGCGATTTTGCTAGATTTTGAAGCTAGATCGGTTAGATTGATCTCTTGTTGGAAAATGAAAAATGTAGATATTTCGAAGCTGCGGATAAATTACTGTATAAGATGAAGAATGTTTTATGTATGTGTGTGCACAAAATGGAGGTGCATTGTTATTTTTGTTGATAGTTTCGGATATCATGAAGCAAGTTGGCTGAAGTTTGAAGCTAGATCGGTTGGATTATCACTTTTTTTTTTATAAATGCGAATGTAGATAATAGGGAAGTCTTGGAGGACTAGTAAAGTTGTCTGCATGTGACCTAGAAGCAGTCATTAATGCCTGCATTAGTGTTGATTGTCTACATTACACTCCTCCTCGGGGGCAGCCTTCCGCAGTTCCTGCTAACAATGCTTTGTGCACTGGACTACGCATTAATAAAAATGCAGATATTCCAAATCTGCGTATTAATTACTATATACAATGCAATTCTTCTCGTATCAAAATGCTTATGCACGTGTGTGCACAAAATGCAGGAGAATTGCTTTTTTGTTGTTATTTTCAGATATCAAGAGGTAATTTGACTTAGGTTTGGAGCTAGAGCTGCTAGATTAATCACTTTTTTAAAAAAAATTAATAAAAATGTGGATATTCCGAAGCAGCATATAAATTACTATATGTGATTACTTCTTCTAGTATCAAAACGGTTGTCAAAGTGATGAAAACTGCACATTTTAAATTGTTGATGGAAAAAACTTGAAAGATTATTTTTGTTTGAATATCTGGAAGCAAAGTGTCAAACTTTTTTATTTTAGTTACTGTGTTTGAATATCCTGTCTAAGGGAGTGAGAGTGTGTGTGTATTAAATGCTTTGTTAGGTTATTTACTGTTTGATTTGTGTTAGGTTTACAGATCTCTGTTGATCTAGGTATGGTTTTGTGTTAAACTTTGGTGCTTTGATTTGTGTGTATGTGTGGCTACTGTTGTAGAATCTAATTGGGTTTGATGGTTTATATTTACCTTGATTGGTGAGATGTTGAATTTAAAACCATCTGGATTCACCAATTGAATGAATAAGGAAAAACTATTGCGAGAAAGCCGAGAATGGATAAAAATGGCATTGAGGCGCATAGTTACACCAGTTCTGCTTAATGAAGAGAGAATGAATGCAATGATGCAGAATAGGTAAAAAATGTTAATTTTGTAAAGAAGAAATGAAGTTTGTGTTAGTACGTACACTTGCATTTTTGCCTGGAAACATACCGTAGATATGTATTCGGCATAATATGTGTATACAGTATACTTATCGATAAGGCTAGCTTGTTGGAATCTCAATAAATCCACCAGATACCAGCTGCTTCACCTAACACAAGTATCGGGTAACTTTGTCCATAAATATCAAAGTATATGTGAAGAAATTACCAACATTTTATGCTATGTTCCTTGGTTCTCACTTTCGGTGCTGTACTGTGTTGACACGACATGAGTTTGGGTGTGGGTGCCATACACGTGTTCAAAGACATGAGTTTGGGTGTGGGATCTGTATCGGTTTGGTCAACCGATTATGGGTATAGACGACAGAGAAATTCGGAAAAGATGCAATGGATTTGGTAATAAAGACGAAAGCTAAGGTGAAATTGTAGAAAATGGAATAGTTGGAAATGTCTATGTGAGTCCTTTTCCTTTTATCTCCTCCAGGATTCTCCTCTTGATCAGTATTTTCTCCCCATATAACTCTATTTTTAGATATTTGAATTACTTTAAGCCGAATCGCTGCACCCTTATTCGTACCCCCATAATCTTCAAGTTTAGATCACGAAGGATCCTACCTCTAAATCTGCACCCATATCGGTATCCCACACACGAATCCGAGCAACTTAGCTTGTATGCCTCTATGAAATTTGAACCTGGTCTCCCGTGGTCCCCTCCTGTTTCATTGAATATCAGACCACTCTTGGTCTGTGGTCTTGGGTTCTATATGTATATTTTGTATGTATGTTAGTATTCTGATTTATTACCTTTCTTTAAAATATAATTTATTACTTTATTAAATGACAAGAACAAAGAGGTTGTTCTGCTGAGAGTCAATTTAAAAGTTCTCCTCTGGCATTATAGTACAAAGTTATTTTTCTTTTACTTTGCCACGGCCTTTACGACTTCCATTCTGATGGCATGTGCAATCTAATATTGTCCCTTGGAATACAAGTCAACCCTGCTCTATAAGTTGGTTTTGGGCATTCTGACATGAAGGCAGCTAGTAAATTTACGCAATGAGAATAATCAGGTTTTTCTGGGAAACTCCTCATGATTCTGACTGGATGCTTCCCTCTTTTCCATCCTTCATTTGTCAAAAATGAAATTGATAGCCTTCAAAAATAAGTGTCATTCTCTATTTTATTCTGAACCATGACTGTTGTAGAAGTGTGTTGTCAATTGATTTTTAAAGTAATGTAACATGTTTTCTAGGATGCATGTTTATTGTGGAAAGTTTTGTATGGTGAAAGTGCCTATTTAATTCCCTCAGAGGAATTGTATGTGTATAAGCTGACTATATAGACTTGTTGGGTCACTTCACATATATCTAGGTCAGATTATGCCCAAAAAATTAGGCACCTATTTGTTTCATTGGTGATTAGTGCAAGCTGGATGAGTTATATATAGATTTTGTTGTGCGAAAGTTCTTTTACATGTTCTTGGGCGGGGTGAGTTTTTTGAAAAATCATTGGGAGTTTATTCTTAACCCTAAAAGAAGGGAATACATAGGCTTTTCTGACTCTGGAAGGTGACGATGTTTGTTGCAGGGAGATCTTCTGTCTGTGAAAGTGAACAAGCTGACCTCTACAAAGACTCAGCTTCCTTATTCATTCTATTCTGTTCCTTTCTGTCGTCCAGAAAATATCATTGATAGCAGAGAAAATCTTGGAGAAGTGCTACGTGGTGATCGAATTGAGAACTCCCCTTTTGCGGTCGGTTTCATCTACTTTATCACTTGATTTATTTACTTCATCTTATGATAACTGACTTCTTTTAGATCTATGTTTATACTGCAGTTTAAAATGACGGAGCCAGAGATGTGTCATGTTGTTTGCAGGCTTGTTCTTGATGACAAGAAAGCTAAGGAATTTAAAGAAAAAATTGAAGACGAATATCGTGTGAACATGTAGGTCAATTATTCTCTTGAGGAAACAGTGTCATTTTCCGACCTTTTAAAAGGATCATATTCTTCTTAATTACTCTTCCTAACAATTTTCTGGATTCGTGTGTCAGGATACTAGATAATCTGCCTTTAGTTGTTCCAGTTCGGAGGTTAGAGCAAGAAGCCCCTCCTGCCTATCAGCAGGGAGTTTATATTGGTGTAAAGGGACAATATGCTGGAGTAAGGAATTTTATTTTACTTCCCATGACACGATGTAGAACTGATTTTATATGTAGTAGAGCTAAATTTCATTATGGTCTACTCATTTGCCTCGTGTGATTGCCTGCAGAGCAAGGATGAGAAGCATTTCATCCATAACCACTTGACATTTACTGTTAAGTACCATAAAGATTTGCAGACAGACTCGGCCAGAATTGTGGGATTTGAGGTCATGCCATTTAGGTTTGTTTTCATGGCTACTCATATTTCTGTCTGCACTTATAGTCTGAGGCATACTGTAATGTGTAAGATTTCACTTGCTATTATTGTTTAATCTTTTGGTGCCAAAGAACTGATATGGCTGATAATATTTCCAGTGTTAAGCATGAATATGATGGTAAATGGGCTGACAATACTCGTTTAACAACATGTGATCCACATGCAAAACGGACAGTATCTAACTCAAATTCTCCTCAAGAGGTTGAGGCTAACCAAGAAATCATATTTACATATGATGTTGAATTCCAGGTAACTTATCAGAATTTTGTTAGATATGGCTACTTAATGTGATACTCCCTCATCCCAAAACAAGTTTCACCTTAGGAAAAATCGTGTTCATTAGGAAATCAATAAATACAACGTGTAGTTTACTAAACCATCCCTATTTAATAATGTCTCTAGAAAATTTAACACAGCTAAAAAGTTGGAGTATAAGGATATAGTTAGAAAAAATACTATTTTTTGTCTTGAATTTCTAAGGTGACACGTATTTTGAGACTATTTTTGCTAAGTTGACACTTGTTTTAGGATGGAGGGAGAAGTTATACTAATCTTTTTTGTAATTTTATATGTTGTCGTTTTTCAGTTTTACCTTTTGAGATTTATAGGGGATTCTCTGGTTTGTATTGCAGAAGAGTGATGTGAAGTGGGCGTCAAGATGGGATGCCTATCTTTTGATGGCAGATGATCAGATACACTGGTTCTCGATAGTAAATTCTTTAATGATTGTGCTGTTCCTGTCAGGCATGGTGGCAATGATAATGTTGAGAACACTTTATCGGGACATTTCCAAGTATAACGAACTGGAAACCCAGGAAGAGGCACAGGAAGAAACAGGATGGAAACTAGTCCATTCAGATGTTTTCAGGCCTCCAAGTAACTCTGATCTGCTTTGTGTGTATGTTGGAACTGGTGTACAGTTTTTCTGTATGATGCTTGTGACCATGATGTTCGCCGTCCTGGGATTCCTCTCCCCTTCAAATCGGGGTGGGCTAATGACTGCAATGCTCTTGCTCTGGGTTTTCATGGGACTCTTTGCGGGCTACTCAGCTTCCCGTCTCTATAAGATGTTCAAAGGTACAGAATGGAAGAAAATCGCTCTCAGGACAGCATTTTTGTTCCCAGCTACGGTCTTTGTCATCTTCTTCGTGTTAAATGCACTCATCTGGGGTCAAAAATCATCTGGGGCTGTGCCATTTGGAACAATGTTTGCTTTGGTGTTCTTATGGTTCGGAATATCAGTCCCTCTTGTGTTTGTTGGCAGTTACGTTGGTTTTAGAAAGCCAACCATTGAGGATCCAGTAAAAACGAATAAAATACCCAGGCAGATCCCAGAGCAAGCTTGGTACATGAACCCCATCTTCTCAGTTCTTATTGGAGGCATACTTCCATTTGGAGCCGTCTTCATTGAGCTCTTCTTCATCCTCACCTCCATCTGGCTGAACCAGTTTTACTACCTCTTCGGTTTCCTCTTCATCGTTTTTGTCATCCTGATAGTCACCTGTGCCGAAATAACCATCGTACTATGCTATTTCCAGTTATGCAGTGAGGACTACTTATGGTGGTGGAGATCCTACTTGACATCAGGCTCGTCCGCACTTTACCTGTTCCTTTACGCTACCTTCTACTTCTTCACTAAGCTTGACATCACTAAGCCTGTTTCTGGGATCTTATATTTTGGTTACATGTTGATTGCTTCATATGCATTCTTCGTCCTCACTGGTACCATCGGTTTCTACGCATGCTTCTGGTTCACAAGACTCATCTACTCGTCTGTGAAGATCGATTGATCCTCCAGTTCACTGGTTTGTCTGTCAACATGAATGCTGTAGAAGATTACAATTGAATATCCAAAGTAATTTGAACATAAGAATATTACAATGTCTTAGTAAAATTTTCCAGTATTTAGTTCAGAACAAAAAGCTTCCTTTTTTGTTCAATAGAGTTCAGATGAAATGTTCCTTTACCAGTTGGTGAAGTTGCAGTTTTTAAATACTTTCTTCAATTTTCTTTAGTCTTGAAATACAAAAGAAAAAATTAATGCAAGTATCTCTTTTTCATATCGGGGACGAATAAAAATGAACATCTATTTTTCATATCGGGGACGAATAGAAATGGACAAGGAAGTATTGAATTCTAATCCATGATTTATTTAATAGATTTCTTAAGATATACTATATTATAAAAAATAAAAGTTTTTACATTATACACTAGATTCGACGATGAGAGTTGTTTTATGAATACTCTACGAATATATGTGTGTTTTCTTTGTTGAAACAAATGTATTATGAAACATTCGTTGTTTAATGAGTTAAGTGATTTTCAAAACAGAAGACATTTAATTTAATTGAATAACTATTTTTAGCGTACAGTTTAAGTTATATATACTAGTAATAAAAAAACAGATGTAGTTTAACCTATTGTTATATGTTAATTTTGATTAGGTTAATTACCAATGTGTACTTACAATCGATATTAACTTTTAACAAAGACGAACTTGTTTCAACTGAATAACTACTTTTACTCCTACAATTTCAATCATATATACTGATAATGTAAAAACTTTTATTACGACAAAATATATGTAATTTAACCTATTATAATATTCTAATTACGAATGACTATTTACAACAGATGTTACTCTTTAATAATTTTATTAATAAAAAAAAAACTAATTAGCTAACTCATTTTGTTTTTACTGACAGTGCATACAACTCAATATTAATCGAAAAAGGAGACTTTTTCTTCTATATCAACGCAATTTTTCTAGGTATGGTCAAAAGTAAATTCACATTAGGAGAAAATTATGCTTACAAGATCTTATGTAATTAGATCATTAAGACAAGATTAGTGTTGTGTAAGTACAACAGCTGTCCCAATAAGAAAGATTATTCTCTCTTCCACCATATCCTCCTATCCACTAAATTAAATTAATTACCTCTAAAATCGGCGCAAATTATTTACACTAAGTCCTCATATTTCATTATAAATATTCCACCTTTTCATTTTCTTCAAACCACTATCAAAAATCAAAATCAGACAATATTTCTAATATTAATCCAAAAAATGGTTAATTTCAACACTTCACTCGCAACTTTTTTCTTCTTCTTCCTCTTGTTATCTCGAGCTAAGTCTTTTAACATTACTTCTCTACTTAACCATTACTCATCTTTTAGCAGTTTCAACAATTACCTAACTCAAAGCGGAGTGGCTGCGGAGATTAATTCACGACGGACCCTCACTGTCCTAGTCGTTGAGAACAACAAATTATCGCCCCTCAAGGGGATGTCACAAGACGCGATAGCTAACGTCATGCGCGTGCACGTCTTACTCGACTACTATGACGTTCCAAAGATGCAAATGTTGCCTAACAAGACTATGAAGACGCCTACTTTATTTCAAACGACTGGTTATGCGAACAACGACAAAGGGTTTTTGAACATGACTGATTTGGGTGTTGGAAGTATTTCGCTAGGCTCGGCTGCAGAAGGAGAAAGACTCGAATCGAAATTAATTAAATCTATTGCGTCACAACCTTATAATATTTCGATATTGCAAGTTAGCAATGTCATTATTCCATCGGGAATTGAGTCATCAACACCAACATCTCCTCCACCTACCCCTGCCCCAATTAGTAGTGCACCAACATACTCCCCTGCTTCTTCGCCCCATGGATCATCTGCAGCCCCTGGTACTGGTACTGACACAGGGCCTGCACCAGAATCAGAGGCTGCCCCTGCCCCTTGTAATGACGCAGGGCCTGCACCAGAATCAGAGGCTGCAGAGACCCCTACAGAGGCTTCCCCTGCACCGGCTCCACATCATTTACCACCCAAATCCGATGCACCAACTGCAGAGACTCCTGCGAGTGGATCAGCTGATGCACCATCTGCTAGTGCACCATCATCTGATGTACCATCGGCTGGTGCACCATCATCTGATATACCATCATCTGGTGCACCATCAGCCGGTGCACCAGAGGCCGATGCACCATCGACCGGTGAACCGGAAGCCGATGCATCATCGGCCGGTGCACCAGAGGCTGATGCACCAGCACCAACTTCAACGGGGGATAATGCTAGTGCTAGTTCTATTTTAGGTGTTAGCTTAGTTTTCATTGCAATGACTAATCTCTTTCTCGTTTTAGTGATTTAGATGACGAATATTGATTTAGAAATCAATAACTTACTTTAGAAGTTGAAAAAACTTGTTCGAGAGAGGTTGTATCGGAACCAATTTTTTTACCTTATGAGTTATTAATAAATCTTTTCCGATACTAATTTTATTTGACCAAAGAAATTCTTTAACGTGAAGTGTTAAATAGGAAATGAAACTTATGTTAGATTTATTATGTGTTCAACAAAAATAAATTCATCATTTTTACGAGTCTAATTTATTATTAACTTGACAACGATTTAAGTTTCGTAAAATTTAATAATTTTCCGAGTTTAACATTCGAATATATGTGAAATCGTTGAAATTCAAGAACCAATTTCTACGAATTGAAATTCACTTCAAATTTAATCGCGTAAATCTAAATTTAATCGCGTAAATCTAAAGTGACAGTAAAATAAATTACAAACATTTCCAAACATAAATTATAGTAAAATTCAAAACGAAATGTTTTGAATGAAAGTTATTAAAAAGGGTTATAAGTTGAGAAAATTTAAGTAAATAATACTATTATAGTAAATATTTCTCTTTTATGAGTCTACTTGCGAGGATGAGTATCTTTAGGGCCGCCAACTCCGGTGGCCACCTTGGCAACGTCGACGGCGGAAGCTTCCGGTTTCTTCATCGCGTACATAGTACCGTACCAAATCGCACCCGCGATACCTAAACCGACGATAGTCATTGTTGTAATGCTATAAGGCAAACGCCCTCGTTGATGTAGTATCGTACCTGCACAGAGACGAATTCAAGATTTAAATTTAATATAGTCTTTGATGTAGTATCGTACCTGTACGAAGACGAATCCAAGATTTAAATTTAATATATCGAAAGTTTTAACTTTCTCAATTCAGTGTTTGTAGTGTCTTAAAAATTTTGTTCCCTTTTATGTTGTATTATTATTTTTGCTTTAAACTAACTATCTTATTTGTAGTAGGCCCCATTTTTATACGACATTTTTATTATTTTTTTGCTTTAAATTATCCTATTTATACTAAATAAAATAATTAAGGTAATAATTTTATTATTGCTAAGTTCTCTCAATTACACAATTGAGCATTTTAATAACACACAAATCTTTATAAATGCGACTAACCTAAATGCAACATGGGAAAAACATTAAATTGAATAACAATGACTCGTCCCTATTTATTAGTCCATATTTCTTTTTTTTTCCCGAATAATGAAAAAAGGACAAACTTTTTTTTTCAATTATGCCCCTATTTAAACTATTTGAAAATTTTCTTAAGTTTAAATTCATTTTTTTAAAACTAAAATTAATAAGAATAAAATTATAACTTCACTATGCTAAATTATTAATTATTGCTATCTTGATATGTGTGCTATTTCTAAAAAATACGGAGCGAGTACTTATTACTCAAAATTAATGTATATAGCTAATACCAATTTTAGTAAACTTCTACTCCCTCCTTTCGATTCGATATTTTTTATCGTAGCTTCTATTTTTAAAATCGAACTATAAAATTTTGACTAACATCCTAAGAAGTATTTTTTTTCAATCATATTAATATGTAAATTTTTTTTATAATTTATGGTACTTTTTATATAGTTTTAGAATATCAATTTTTTTGTTTAAATTATCGAATTAATGTGATCCACTTTACCTTTTAAAATTAATCAAATTTGACTTTCAATAAACGCAAAATGTTAAAAAAAATTCCGAATGAAAGAAATAATTGCTTAGCATAAAATTCAATACAATATCAAATCATCATTTTGCAATCTCACATAAATAAATCAAATGCAAGTTGAAATGAAATTACTTAATCTTGTCCAAGCAATTTTAGCATAACTACTAACAACCAAGCCACTTCTAAAAATAAATTTAATATCGATATAATTCTAACCAGCAACCAAACGTAATATTTTAGTATCTGTATAATTCTAACCAGCGATCAAACGTAAAACCCAAAGTACCTGGATTGTGGCCTGGTGGTCTCCTAGAGGATTCAACACCAGCTTTTTTCACTTCTTCTGGACTCATTTTGTGTGTATCTGCCATTTTTCTCCATTCTTCATTATTTCCTGCCATTATTAATTTTTATTTTTATTTTTTTTTGCTTTGAAATATTAGAAATTAAGATGTAAAAAGAAAATTAGGGTTTTTTTTTTCATTTTGCATGGTTTTTATTAGAAAATAGAAAACTTGAAAAGATGACACGTTGTGATAAGACACTTGACATGTGTCTCTTTTTGTAGTGTTCTGGTAATGATTACTCATAGTTACGTATAAGTATTTTTGAGATTTGAATTTAAAATTTTTAATTAAAAAAAAATAATAATGAAATTTAAATGTATGATTTTTAGTTATAGAAAAAATAGTCTTATTTATCTAGTGTATGGTTTTGGCTTTATTATTGTAAACAACGAGATGTAATGAAAGCTAGTACATAAATTGGATTGTATTATTTATTTTTAATTTACGTGATATATAAAATTTGTAAAAGAAAAATATTTTTTTTTCTGTTGTATGATTTTATTTTTTTTTAATTATTCGTTCTATGTTTAGGATTAGTATTGGAATTTATTTTGAATCTACGTTTGTGAAAATTTAATTTGAAAAAATTATAGTGGCTTTTCATTAAGAATTTTTTTATTAATTTGTAAAATTCGAATTTTAGTGTTTAAAAGGAACTATAAGGAACCGATGAAATTTATCTATATTTTTCAAAGTAAGAAACGAATGAAATTTATCTATATATCCCAAATATGAATTTTGTTGAATATAATGTTTTAAAATATATGCATAAACTTAAATAAATTTTTTTAGCTAAAATTATCTTTAAATTATACCTTAAATTTAAATATTCCTAAAGTATCATTCTTAGCAACCCTTCGGGGTAGCTCAGTGATTTGAATTTGAAGCTTCCATGTTGAAGGTTTCAAGTTCAAAACCTCTTACTAGCGAAAGCAAGGGGTGTACCTTTTGGATCAAGTTTGTCGCACAAAGCTTACCTAGTGCAGATTATCTCTCCTATGTGATTTACGAGCTATTACATAGGAGCGGAAATTTTACTCCGCAGCTACTAATTTTCCTTGTCATAAAATTTTACTCCGTGCGCACCCATAAAAAAAATGTATCATTCTTCAAGTACGTAAAAGTGAACAACTTTTATCCTTCAACTTTAAATTATTAGAAAACTAACATATTCTCAAAAATAAAGTCATTCCTCCTTCTAATTATTATTTTTAGATATGTCAAAAACATTATCATGAATTTTTTTGATAATTAAATTTAGCATTTTGTAAAAAAATTTGATTTGACAATCTTTTCATTTATTCTTCATGTAATTTGATATTAAAAATACTACTAGTTTAAAATATATTTTTTTTCTCAATTGAATACTGGAGATTTCGCTTCTAAATAATGTAGAATATGCTTGGAGATTTCGCTTCTAATAATATAAAAAGAAATTCAAATATAACACATAATTAATATTTTAGATTAAGCTAAAAATTTATTGATCTAAAATATAATTTAACTATGAAAAAAATAAAGATAATTAAGCTATAACTCCATTACTAAATGAGACAAGTAACAGATCATGTATGTACTCTACAACTTTTAAATACTTGGAAAGGATGAATAACACTTACAAGAATAGTTTAAGTTTGAAAAATAGTAAAAAAAAAATTAATTAAAAATAATACTTGAAGGATAGAGCTTTAATTTGAAATATGATTTGAAGAATGTTTTTAAATATAATGTGTTTTTAAATATAATGTTTTAAATAGATGCATACCTCTAACGTGCATTGATTACCTTCTTTAGTATAAATTAGTAAAATTTCTATATTATAAATTGATTATACAAACAGTTCAATTACTTCTTTTTTTTCAATTACTTTTTTCTTTTTTTCGTAGTTTTGAAAAATTATAGCGCCACAAGGAAATGTATATTAAGATAATAACATACTACTCTACTCAAAGAATTACCTAAAATTAAATCAATTTAATATTTTAAATTAAAATTATGTCAAAAATCTAAATATCTATATGTCCTAAAAAAAAACCTTTAGAAATGTTAATTTTAATAACACTTAACCAATATCAATAAAAACCTAATTAATGAATAAAACATATTTATCTCTATCTCAAAATGAAGCCTAATTTCAAAATTCAAAAAGCTCCTAAAATTCAATTGTAGTAAAAAAAAAAATACAAAAGCTCAAGGCGTATATAGCTTATACAATTAATAAGTTGAAGTTGAAACTCTTTTAACATTTCAAAGCTCACTAAATATTCATTAAAAAAAAAATTCATCAAATTCTGGATACGCCTCTAACTAATATAACTTGCAATAAATAAGTTAAAAATAAAACTCAATATTTCCAACACAAAGAAACATGCATATGTAAATGTAAAAACTTCACTAAAGAATTCGAAATTCAAGCTACATCAATTTGCATAAGAGTTATCCTCAAAAAGTACGTAAGTACATTATTTAAAATTCTGAATCCGCCTCTAATTAGATCTGTTTGCGAAGAGTATCCTCGGAATGAACAGTACTCGAGATAAGTACATTATTTAAATTTCTGAATTCGCCTCTGATTAGATCTGCTTGCGAGGAGTATCCTCGGGACGAACAGTACTCGAGGGTACCCTCGCAAGGGGTTCCGATTTCTTGTTCATATAAGTCATGTAATACCAAATACTACCAACAACAACAGCACCACCTATCGCCATCGTACGAGGACTATATGGTAAATTTCTCCATGGCTTATTTACATCACCATTAGCCATTTTTCTTCAAATTATTGAGAAATAAATTATTATTTTTTACTTTATTTCTCTTTTTTTTTTAGTAGATAAACTTTTTTTTTTTGTTGAGACTTTGTTACATTTTTTTTTCCTTCATATTATATATATATATAATAGAAGTTTGTGTAGGGTATATGAGGAGATGAGTGACACGTTGCTCTTTTGTGTCATATTATGAGAAGTTTGCTTTTGCATGTACTTTGACATGTGGCATTTGATTTTTGTTTCTTCTTTTGAGTTTCCAAAAGAGGATAAGAGATGGCGTATATCACGCGGTGATGGATTCAGAATTTTCGTTCGGAGAAAAATAATAAAAAGTTCAAACCCTTGATGTTTGAGCTTTACGTCAAAGGGGTGTATGTCTGCTAGGGATGTACGTGGCTGAGTTGGTTTATGTCTTTCAAATATCAAATCAAATCATTCATGTAACATTTTTAAATTTATATACAAACCAAATCAAATTAATAAAATTCATATTTTTTTTAGGGTTTTTCAACTTCAGTTTTTCAAATACCAAACCTGATTACTATGTCGAATTTTTAAATTTATAAATCAGACAAAACTAATTAATAAACTTTGAATTTTTAGATTTTTTCGGTAAAGTTTGCATACAAACATATAATTAACTTGTGCTTCAAATATTTCTTTAGTCCAACCAAAATACAAGCATCGAAGGTGTTTCTTTTAAAAAAAGAAACATAAAATATGGGATGAGTATTGATGACACAAAAATATTCTAATAAAAAATAATAATGAAATCATCGTATAAAATAAATATTGTAAAGTCATAATGAAAATAATCATAATTTAAAAAGTATACAATCATGCTAAAATAATTCTAATAAGTACTAGTTACATTAATAAATAGTTAAGAAAAATTAAAAATTAAAGTACGTATTTTAATTTTATGAAACCAATGTAAAACTAAAGAACAAATATTCAATATTATTAGTGTTAATAAAAAGCCGAAAGAACTATTGAAAGTGTTAAGATACCTCTAAACTACGTGAGAATTAAGAGGATTATTTCACTCATGTTGCAAGAAAAAATACTTTTTTAAATTTAACGTTCAAATCAAACTGTGTCATGTGAATTAAAATATTATTTTTTTGGTTTTTTTCTACTGGACTTTGGGCTTTTATCTGATCTTCCATTAAAAGTTGGGCTAATGGATTAAAGCCCAACTAAAAAAAATATGAAAAAAGCCCAATAAATATTTGACCGTTACTATCCTTTAACCTTATTATTTTAACGGCTAGTTTTCTTGTTCCATTTTAGCTACAATTTAACTCTCAACGGCTAGTTTTCTCTTCACTATATATATATATATATGACCAAAACATATTTCAAAATTTATCAAACAAATTATTCATCTCTTGCTCTCAATTTTCCCTTTTCGAAACCTTCGTAATCGATCGAAAAAAAATTGTTTTCGAGCTTAATTAACTTCATTTCATACTCAATGGCTGTTTTTTCAAGAAATGTGTTTGTAATGGCAATTCTGTTTTTCAGTCTATTAAGCTTCACAGAAGCAAGAGATCATTTGGTTGGTGGAAAAACTAATTCTTGGAAAATCCCGTCTTCTGAATCGGATTCCCTCAATCGTTGGGCTGAGAAAACACGATTCCTCGTTGGAGATTCTCTTGGTACGTTAAAAAAAAGTCTCAGTTTTATAAATTTTGCATTTATGACACATAAATTAAAACATAGGGATACAAATCACGGGTGGACCGTAGGGTCCTGTACCCATTTTTCGTATTTTGAATCTCTGAGTAAAAATTTTAACTCGTTTTTTTTTATGACACATCAATTGAAATACAAATTTTTGCATTTGCTAGTACTACTAGAAGGGACAAATCAGGGGTTGAACCCAGTGTCCTGAACCCCTTTTTCGTATTTTGAACCTGTGAATGAAAATTTTTCACTCGTTTTTTTTTATGAAATAAAGTGATACAACTTTTTGCATTTGCTAGTATACTACTACTAGAAAGGATAAATCATGTTATAGTCCTTGAACTCCTTTTTTCGTATTTTGAATCTGTATGTTAAAATTTTAACTCGTTTATTTATGACACATAAATTGAAATAAAGTGATACAACTTTTTGCATTTGCTAGTATACTACTATTAGAAAGGATAAATCACGTTATAGTCCTTGAACCCCTTTTTCGTATTTTGAACCTGTGAGTGAAATTTTAACTCGTTTTTTTTTATGACACATAAATTAAAACAAAGTGATACAACTTTTTGCATTTGCTATAGTATAGTACTACTAGAAAGGACAAATCACGTCAATAGTCCTGAACCCTTTTTTCATATTTTGAACCTCTGAGTGAAAATCTAACTCGTTTTTTTTTTTTTGGTTAGTGTGGAAGTATGATGGGGCAAAAGATTCAGTGTTGGAAGTGAGTAAGAAGGATTATGTGACATGTAACACATCAAGTCCAATTGCAATGCATAATGATGGGAACACAAAGATAGTGTTGGAACATTTTGGGGCATATTATTTTATAAGTGGTGTAAAAGGGAGTTGTGAACAAGGACAAAAATTGGTTGTCGTTACGTTGTCTAAGAGGAGATACGCAGATGCACCAGTACCGTCTCCGGTTGAATTTGATGGTCCAGCTATAGCACCTACTAGCAATGGTTTTAGTTTGAAGGCTAGTTTGGTTGTGGCTTTTGGGGTTTTAGTAGGGTTTTGGGTTTGAACTGATTTTTTTATTTTTTTTTAATTATTGGGAATGGTCATTATATTCTTTTATTTAATTTGTTGTTTACTTTGCCTTAATGTTTAAATAAAAAGTTTTTTTTTTTGTTCATGGAAACTTTACAATACTGAAAATTATCAAAATTTTATTTTATTTTTTCATGCACCCACACATGATTGTTTGATACTTAGATTAATTCGGATTAGTTGATTGAGAATGTTGAATTTTGATGAGTTTTTGAATGATTGGGAAATATATTTATTTTTCGAGTCGAAATTAATTTTATGCGAAAAGTTCTCTTTTTAGCTTGGGCATATTCAACTCTTGAAAATGTCGATATCGTCTAGATAAAATTCGAATTTCAAGAATCAAATAATAATAAAAATAAAAATAAAAATTATTATATAATTTTTGAGAAATGACATAAATGATCATTATTGAGAGCAAAAAATATATATATTAACTGAAAGCTCATTTTTGCTTCACAGTGTTTTTGCACAAAATGTAAAAATAAAACTATAAACAAAAACTGTAACTTATTTTTCTGATTACTTCATTCCTTCTAATCCTGCTGGCATCCCTAAGCTCTGAGCAAGATTGCTCATTCTCTCCTTCATTGCCTAACATACATTCAAAAACATCATTATTTTGCATCGTATCGAAGAAAATCATGAAAAACAATTACTATACTTATTACCAGTACACTTTTCTGGTGCGCGTCCTTGTACGCCTCTGTTACCAGAAGTGACAGTTTCTGCATCCACCAAACATACAAACACAAGATTATGTCTTTTAAGGTTACAAGTGAGATAAGAGAATACGATGATTCGATATTCAAAGAGTTAGAACATTGATGGGCCATTGGAGTGTGGCACTTCTCCGGACCCTATGTGACCGTAGGACAGCATAGTGCTTCGCGCTTCCTTTTTTATTCAAAGAGTTGTAACAACAACCTGTAATCATGGATTAACATGTGCTCTCCCAAAAGGTTTGTGTCAATCACAAGACTCTAATTAAAGGATATACTGACACTAAAACTCAACTAGACTATCTGAATTTATTTTCGAGTCTGATAAGTTTGGATAGCCACAAACATATAAACTTACATCAGATCCCATGTCCATTGCAGCGTCAGTTATTTCAATGCGCACCGGCTGTTGGTTACCAGAAAGTGTTGCCTACAGAACAGTCCAGATAAAAAATTTAAGCAGTCATTATGAGAGAACAATTTCAAGCACAAGTTTTTTATCTTTGCAAGTTTATCGGTGTCAATATGAGTCATGAGAGAAACGTGGAGGGATAAGGAGAGAAACAAAAAGCTTATCTTTGGGAAAGCAATCAATACCTTTATAAGTTCACCTTCACAGTAGCCATCAAACTCTGCACTGTAAATTAGAACAAAAAGTAACACAATAATTTAGAGTAAAGGGTAATGGAAGAGTGACTGTAACGAGTATGGAAAAATTTATCAGGAACACCTACGCTGCAAGTTCTTTCTGCACACGAACTGCCTCGACTTGAACAACCATTTGTGCCTTCTTTACAGTTTCATACAGATTTTGCATGTTTCCAAGTACTCCAGCCTGGTTGAAGTTAGATTAATCATGACAAAGAAACATGATGATTTTGATATCACGCAAGACCACCAACAAACCAGACTATGTTTTTTTCTAAAGCAAAATAAGTAGGAAGCTAGATACAAAACCTAAGAAATAATAATCTATGAACGGTCAATAAGTAGTTGCTAGGTATTTGATATAACGATCAATACAGAGACAGTATATGATTGCTGCACCAAATAACATCTTTTATATGCATGGTAATCCACGTAGAAGAAAAAAGGCGTATAATTTATGCGTCAAAACTATGAATAAAGGACTCTCCCTGATAATGGTGGACGGGGATCTTTTCCCTCATTTTCATCAAGTCCTGCAACAAGTACACTTCTCAGTCTTTCATCAGAAATTCTGAGGGTAAATACCAGACTATAAGAGTTTTCTGAAACACTCAAAAAGATTTTTTGTTTAAGTAAATTTATATGATATTCTCTTGAGTAAATTGAAGTATCATCTCTCATTATGTACCATGAGCAATTTTTGTTTAGGTAAATTCGTGAGACATTCTCTAGGGTAAATTGGAGTGTCATCTCTATTTATTTTTTCTGTACTCTCCGGTATATTTTCTAATATAATGGAATTATTCTTCCTCGTTGCTAGATGTATGCATAACTGAAGAACCATAAGATTTATATAAGTCATCTCTCTATCTCTCTTTTATTGGCTTTATTATCATATTTTGTCCCCTTCAAATCAAGAGTAAATCCTCAACAAGTCTTCAATGTTCATCTTCTACGATTATCCCGTTTAGGAATTTCTCAAGATTGATATGGAACTGTGCTCTTAGGATCTTGATAGTGAAATTTACAGACTTGCACCAAAAGAATACTTCAAAAGATCGATGAGCTTGCTAAATGTCTTATTTTTTTTGTATAGCTGGAGTAATTTATCCCCTGTAAACTCCCGAGACAACTTTTAGGATTTCGTTAGCTCCTTATCTTTAGTATGGGGCTCATTGTAATGGAGCTAACAAACTCGCGTTTGCTCATACTCTTTTGTCTACTATTTGCATCTGATTGATTCCTTTAATGAAATCTATTACTTCATCAAAAAAAAAATTGGATGCGCTTGCTACTAGCATTATTTTGTTAATGTCGTATTTTAGGACATATTCTCCTCCCATTTAAATTATTTTGTGATATTGGTACATGTTTTTTCCCCTTCATTGAAAAGTATCAAATTTTGGAGATACGTCAAAGCAAGTTGAAATGTGCTGAATCTAAACACTCACTGACAACTTTGCTACTTCATTTTCTTCTAACGGAACTTTGTGGAGTGGTTACTAATTCCTGGATGATTAGACACATTAGCAACAAATCCATTGGTCCACTTATGTAAGTCTAATCTTAAACAAATACTTAAAGGAGATTACCTTGAAAGCAAACCGTCTATCCTTCATTACATCAGCCTCAATCCTCAGTCAATCGTACTATCCTCAACACACACTCTTTGGCCTTCTTCAGCCTATTTTAATCGGTATCCTCACTTCCCACACATCCACTTCCTCCTTTACGAGTGTCTACTTTTAGAATTGGCAATTCATAGTTTGTGCTTTTACGCTGGTCTGCTTACATGGTCTATACACTTCATAAATTGTTCTTTTCGTCTTTTTTTTTAATGACAAGGAAACCTGCAGCCGCTATCCTTTGGGTGTGCACAATGTAAAAACTCCTTTCCTATGCAATAACTTGCAAACTAGAGGTAACCCACACTAGACAAAGCCGGTGCAACGAGCTCTTCTTTTCATGTTACTGATTGTCTAATGTGATTATTTAAAATTATGATTCTTCTCTACCCTTGATGGTACTATTACGTATTGGAATTAAACACACTTTAAACAGTAATATTCAAATGTACTCAGATGAGGAAACATTTAAATGTGACAATTGCAACTAAAGATACATGAAATACACATATATGAATTTCATTTATAGTGATTAGGCAAATTATTTAATGTAAGCAAAAAGGGTTTTACCAAAATATAACCAACCAAGAACTCATTATTGCCAAAAGAAATGGCGGTACAGCACTGTCTCGTGTAATAATATATGATAAAGCTATGAAAAATTTATAACCATGATAAGAGACCTCACATCCAAGACAACAAACCCCAAAGGGTAAAAGATGATACTACAGGAAAATCTTACTAAGGATCGTATGGATATTTCATGCAGGGTTGTCCAGAACATGGTTTAATTCAAATTTACATAACAATCAAGTAAACTCCTGCGAGAATTTTGCACATATTATGTTTTTGTATCAATTAAAGAAGAGAATAATCTGCACCTTTGAGGAATTATCATCACTGTTATTATCCTTTTTTCCACCAAACAAGCCATGAACGTGGAGAGATCTCCTAGATTTCTGGCCATTTCGTAATGATACACTTGAAGGACCAATAAGTAGGGTACTTGAGTTTGATTTACCTAAAACACGATGAAGGTATGTCACATTAGAATCATTCCTAGAATTAGTAAGAAACTTTTAAATAGCAATATACATCATAAGACATATCAGAAACTAAAGGGATTAGCTAAGAAGAAAGGTAAGTTAAAATGAAACACAAAAGATTACAGAAAAAGACAAATATTTTCTGACTAATCTCATGAAACACTCTCCCACGTAGCTGGTTAAACCATAGCAACAGTAAAGACAATTTTTTTAATCGTCAAAAGTCAAGCATTTTACTTGCTGAGATACTTCCAAATAAATTCAGAACTTGAGAGGGGATCAGAGTGCACACTATATTGATTGCCAACCAAAATGATCTAATCATGGAATAATACATAGATAGACACTTTAACTTGGCATCAACACTCCAACTTTGAGTAAGCACATCTAGACACTTCAACTCGTCTCCATTGTGTTAGTTAGCTCTCCCAACTCACAAAATGATCATCTAGACACCTCAACTCGTCTCCTCTGTGTCAATTATAGCACTCCAACTCACAAAATGATCATCTAGACACCTCTACTAAATGTGTCATGTCTTCATCGAGTGTCCATGAGACACTGTAGGGACAAGTTGGAGTGTTCAGTGGTCAATTGAGACCAAGTTGTGGTGTCTAGATGTGCACTATCAAAGTTAGAGTTTGCACAATGCCATTAACTCCTTAATGACCATATGCGGCACTAAGAAAAAGAAAAAGACAAATGATTCTTACTATAATAAACACAGACACATTTTATTGAACATTCTTCAGCAGAAGCCAGAATATAACCATGATAAGCAAGCTTTAGTATACCAATTTAACGTAAACAGGGTTATCTCGGAACCTTTTCTTTTTCTTTCTTTGGAACCTCCAACTTTCGAATCCTACAGAAGCACTATATATACCGGACCCTCCAAAGTACAAACTAGACTTCTTCCATTTAGAGTTCAACACATTTGAAAAACATACAAAGCTAACCTCTGGAATGGCATGGTATGGTCTTAAACATCCTTATACCCTCCAT